GAAAGGTGAAATAACACTTTTTTTCACTTTTACTCGATGTATTCCAACATCCAGCTGCCATGCACGTGGGCATTGTGGGTTTTACTATAGCTCTGGTGAATTTCAATGGTGAAGTCATCTGGAAATCTTCAATAATTGTTGTTGACTGCAGATATGGCTAGGCTTACCGCACCGTGACGTCACTGCTGGAAGATGGCAGGAGGGAGGTGTGACTATATTTGGGCAAAGATGGCCGCTACCGGACTCAGTGATCACAACAAAAATTATTTTTTTACTGATTGACGCTAAATTCAGCAAATGCATTAGTTTTTGGTATAAATAATGATCCATTGATTATTCCTTGCTGACTGGACATTTCCTTTAGAGTAAGCTCACTCTGAATATACTAATATGCACTGAGCATATTTTCTCCTTATATTTGCTTCTTCATGCAGTTTTTTTGATGCATGCTGCAATTATGCCTCCTCCTGAGATGCCTTTATCCAAACCTTTAATTGTTTTCAAACACAGCAAAATGTGGTAAAATATTTACAGCTCACAAATGTTCTTACAAATCCCTTTTCCCCTTCATAGGTTTAAGTGTTTGCAGTAGAATAAAAACAACTTAATGGGGCACAAAGTCCACAGCGTCATACTTATATTACCTCTTTTCCACATGTTGCATGCTGCATTCACTGCATTCAATATAAAATTCCAAATCTTATCATCAACACAGATTTGCTTTTTTTTGTTTTTTTTGTTGTTGTTTTTTTCTTTTTCAGGTACTGCATAAAATGAAGGAAGTAGGATTATTACAATATAATAATCATACTTTGGGGGGAAAAAACGGTTTGACACAAAAATACAAAACGAGTTTATCAAACTTATAGCTCATCAATATTTTTTATATTTTTTTCTAGCAATCTGACTGATTGTGGTAGAAAGTAAATAAACCCGTTGTTTTCCATTCTCAGCACCAAAAAATGTATGGCTGTGTTCAAATTCATGGCTTCGTGCTCGATTAAGTCATAGCGAGGCGCCGAGGTCTGGTCAGATTCCCAGATTCCTCGTTATGCGGTTTATAAATGCGTCCTTCTTTTTGCCCG